TAGTTTCACAGCCTGCAGACGGACCTTGGTTTCCGTCCTCGGGCCGGTCCGGACCGCTCATTCACATCCTCTGACCGAGTCTTTATTGAGCCGAGTGCAGACGCCTCATAAACACGAGTCGATTTCATTAGATCTCATCAAGGCCTGATCAGATGGGAGCTGCAGAACATCTCCACCACAGCATCGTTTAACGGGCCGCTGCCTCCGGACCGACCCGCTGCCTCCGGACCGACCCGCTTCATCCGGACCGACCCGCTTCATCCGGGTTTACTGTCATCTGAGGGTCCAGACAGAAATACAGCAGCAGCAGATAAAACAGCTGCAGGGTTCAGAGCCGCACAAATTAATTTGCCAAATTAAATACAGGAAAATAAAAAGTGTAAATTTACAGTCAAATGTTAAAAAAAATAAAATAAAATTCCAGGAAAAAAAACAAAAACAAAAAAAAAGTATTTTTTAAAAAACGACAGAGTACTGAAATGTTCAAAAATTGTCAAAACTGTGAAAATAACAGTAAGTAACCCTAATAGTAATAATAAAAATACTAATAATTTATTATTTTTTTCTGATAATTTTTTTGTGATTTTAAAATTTATTTTAGTGTTTAATTTTTTTTAAAAATTATTTGTAATTTAACCAAGCAGGACAATCTGTAAAATAGCAGTAAATAATTTTTTTATTTATTATTTTTTATGATGACTTTTTTTGTGATTTTAATATTTTAGCATTTATTTTTCTATTATTTGTAATTTAACCAAGCAGGTAAACTTAGCAAACCAGCAGTGAGTAGTTTTGGCGGCGTGACAGACGACAGGACAGCGTTGGGTCGAGCCAGAACATTTAATACACTTCATGGCAGGAGTCATGCACTTGCAGCACTTCACACGGGTTCAGTGCACGTTCCTCATCTGGAGCGCTCGTTTTCCAAAAACACGTACGAACCGTAAAATAATTTAAAACACATATTATAAAAGACGGAGGGGGTTACACTGAGTCGCTTGTTTTTTGTTCTTTTTAGTTTTTTTTATACATGTTCATAATACTGTTTGAGAAAAACGTGTCACAGAAGAAATTAGCTTCAACACAGAGCAAACCAAAGAACGGAGGCTTCACACGACGCTGTGCTCGCTGACAGTTAGCAGGAAAAGAAGAAACGGTGAAGCCGGCGACACCCGAGAGCCAAAGTCACCGAGAGAAGAGTCTGTCAAAGAGGAGGAGGAGGAGGAGGAGGAGGAAGGATGTCCGTCCCTCTGGAGGAGAACCGATCCGAGTGGAGGGCTGAAGGTCGGCGGCGCCGCTAAGCGTAGAAGGTCTCGACTTTCACCGCCTGGCAGAACATCGTCATGGAGAAGACCAGGCCCAGGATCTGCAAAAGGAACGCAACCAAATAAAGCTAATTATCCTGGATTCAAATCTGCAAAAACATCAGTACTTTACAGATAATAATGGAAAAAGGAAAATGTTGTTTAATTGTTATTGTCCAAGTTTTCCCTGTTTTGTTAGATTATTTTCAAAAATTCCACAAAAAACTGTTAATTTACACGTTGACTCTCCTAAAATTCACTTTCACTCCTAAAAAAACGTGACATTCGATGAGGATACAGGCTCAACTTGTCATTAATGGCCATCTGGTGGAACAAGCAGGTACTGCAGCTGGTCTATGATTCGCTTTCCGACATGCAAGTCATTTATCATTTACAAAAAAATCTCAGATTTTCCTCAAATCACCATCGGTACCAGCTGACTAAAATCAGAGCTCCTGATTGGTCAAGGAGGGCAGAATTTTTTGATCTTTACAGAAGTTTTTTTCTTGGATTTTACTGGATATTATCTTTAAAAAAAACAAAACAAAACAAAAAAAAACAGGAGAAATGTGTAAAACATGAACATTAAAGAGTCAAATGTTGTAAAAGAACAAATTACTTTTTGTCAAAGTAAAGATTTTTAACGTGGTCGTTATTTCATGTTTTGTTTTTATTGTGTTTTTATCAGACGATGTGGAAATTAATCATTTTTTGTGATTTTTTTTGTAGATTTAATTTGTAATTTCACAAAACAGGGAAAATCTGGAAAATTACACTTTTAAAATATTTACCATTTTCTCTTTAAACTAAAAAAAAAATTAAAAATTTATCTTAAAATAACTTGAAATTGTAAAAAAACAATAAAAATAATATTAACATTAAAAATAACAATAAATAAAACATGTTTGCTCATATTCATTTGATTCAGTTCCTCTGTAAATCCAGAATAAAACAGTATTTTCCTCTAAAACAGACGTCTGGAGGCCGTTTAGCGTCTCTCTAATGCCGGCGTGTGGACAGAACTCGGGTTCCCTGGTTTGGACCTGATGATGCTTCAGGTCGCTGCAGCCTGAGCTGGTGTTTGAATGAGTCACCGTTCACTCAGTAAACCAACAGCTGCTCCACTCCGCCGCCCTGAACCTCCTGAACCGGCTCCCTGGATCCCTCCACGTCTGCTGCAGCACGTCTTCCCTGCAGAACCTCTTCGTGTTCGTCCCGGTGGACCCCCGGTCGGTTCTTGTGGGAAATCCCGATCAAACGTTCCCCCGGAGGCTTCGACTCGGCGTCTTCCCCGAACCGCCGGGGAGCATGAAAGCGTTTAGCTGACGTCCTCTGAAGGCATCGCGAGGCGTTTGTGTTCATTCAAACGTCTGCTCAGCTTTTGTTCTTTCAGGACGAGTTTGGATCCTTCAGAACCACGGCGCTGCTCTCTGCCTCTGTTCCTGTGTGACGCTTTACAGAAGCAGAATCTGAGGGTTTATCTCAAACCTCACAGCTTCTTTCTCTGTTCTTAACGTACAGAATTCCTCCTAAACGCTCTGAGATCTGTAAAATCTGTACCGGAGTAAAACTAAACCTGATTAAGACCGAATAAGACGACGTTCAGATGAATCCTCTGAACTCCAAGCAGCAGTTTTCTTCACTGTAGCTTCATTTTTCACCACAAAATCAAATCCTGCAGCTCTACGGGCACAGAGCGACCAGAACCTGACAGAACAGTACACGAAAAATGACCAAAACCTAAAACACCAGATATGTTTTTGATTATTTATGTTAGAAAAATGAAAATAAATAAATGTGATCAACATTTTTCCAAGTGTCCACAGGTGTTACCAAACAATAAATGTAAAAAAGTTGTGACTCTACAGCCTAAAGATATTTGACATTTTTATCAGTTTCTACTCGTCTCCCAGACCAGTGTGGTGGTGGATGACCTCTGAGCTGGGTTCTTCCCAGTCCCACCGGCTCCAGCTCTGTTTGCATTCTGACTCATGTGTTTAATCATCTGACGTCTTTGCTAGTTACTGTAGAAGAACAAATGTTCTGGTAGAAGCTCCTCCAGAGGCTCTGCTTCCTGTCCCTGCTCCTCTGGACTGTATGATGTGACTGAACCAGAGCTCCCAGTCGGGCCGTGACTACATCCTGGTTTCCATTTCACTGCATGCAGGCTGTGTTCAACAAGGCCAGCGAGACTCGAACGGGACCAGAACTGAGGCGGCGTCCCGACTCCTGAGTGATGATGTGTTTCTGATCCGCGTCACGTCGGCCGGCTGGGAGCAGATCGAGGAGTTCTGATGGAGACTGGAACCCTCCATGTGGGTTTAAACACAAGAGGAACCAGAACCTGATGTGAAGGATTTAACGTGAGTCGGTCACCTGAGTGAGGGCTGTGCATAGAGCGAAGATCCACAGAGCCACAAGGTTGTCGTTCAGCCAGTCCTTGACCCGCTCGTAGCACGGCTGCAGAGACACAAAGACACGAGTCAGGACTAGAAGACACACAACGAGTCAGGACTAGAAGACACACAACGAGTCAGGACTAGACACAGAGATACGAGTCAGGACTAGAAGACACACAATGAGTCAGGACTAGATACAGAGATACAAGTCAGGACTAGATGACAAACACACAGACGTCTGCACTGGAAAAACACAGCTGTAGGAAAACACAGCGATAATAATAATACCACAGAGGAATACAGTCATATTTAAAACCTGCAACTATCTGTAAATTAAATTATATATAATAATTAATTAATATATATATAATATATAATGTTATGTGGACATGATTCACAGGTTTTCTGTTTGTTTTACCGTCAGTGTGTAAATTAATATTTTATTCTCTGATTTTACTACGTCATCAGTGAACAAGAAAAACCTGTAAAATAACTGGAATTTATTTAAAATATTTAATTTCAAAAAACTACATTTTTTCCCAGATTATTGCAGCAGCAGAGGACCAGAGTCTCTGTCCAGTGATGAAACCATCTGGATCCTTCTCCTCCTCCTCTGACCCGACGTCCTCTGAAACCCTCCAGAATAAAACCCGTCCTCTGTTTCCTGTTTGTCACCGAGTCGCTCTGGGCAGCTCGTTTCAGAACCGGCTGAGCGACTGCAGAACGTCCCCGAGGCCGCCGGCAGAACACCAAGGTAATTATTACTAACAGCGGAGTGGAAGAGCCCTGCAGGGTCACCGACGTAATGAAGTGAATGATCAACGAGCGGTTCTGGAGGAGGCCGGAGAGCCGACATTAGGAACCACGGTGGCGCTGAGATCGTGCTGGAGGGCCCAGACGTCTCAGAGATCCGTTTGGATGGAAGACGTGTGACACGACGCAGTGACGGAGGAAACTGCTGCTGCTGCTGCTGCTCTAGTTAAATTATTCATTCCTGCCTCCCTGGTTGTGCTGCTGCTGGTTTAAGAAGCTGAGTCAGAACCAGAACAAAAACCCAAACACGAGCTGCTCTGCATCTCACAGAACCACCAGACGGGTTATTGTTGGTTCTGGGCCGGATCGATGAGGAGCAGGGAGACCAATCAATACCTCATATTAAAGAGGAGTTTAAGGCCCAGAATCAGCACCGTCCGGTCTGGTCCGGTCCGGTTAGTGACTCTGAGCAGCTGAAGAGCCGAATGTTCCCTCAGGAGGAGAATTGCTGAGCAGATACCAGACCAGTGACTGAAAAGTGTTTGAAAAAGCTCCAAAAGAACCTCCTCAGAACATCTGGTTCTGTATCTGAGGAACCTTCATCTACTGACCAGAGTTCTACCTTCAGACTGAATGTTCCAGAGGTCCAGGTCCTTGAAGTCCACAGAGGAGGGTCCAGATTGATCACTTTAATGGACTTTTTCCATCATTTCTGAGCCTCAGAACTTCATCAGTGCAGCAGATAGACACATGACATTTAGGAGGAAGAACACATCTTGGTTCTGCTAGAACCTGACACCAGATCAGTTTGGGTCAGAACCAGTTCCAGCAGATCAAAGGTCTCAGTGTTTCTCCTACATTCTGATGAGAGGCTCATCTTCTGGCTACGATTCCTTTTCTCTGGTTTACAGTCATTCTGTTCAAGTTTCAGGACGTTTTGGACGTTTTAAATTGTTCAGGACCAGTTCTGAGTGATTCTGGAGAAGTTTCATTGTGTTTATCAGCAAGTTCTGAATTGTTCTGGACAGATTTTGAGGCATTTTGGGGACGTTTTTGTCATTTTGGACACATTTTGGGTCATTTGGGACGAGTTTTGAGGCACATTGGGTCATTTTAGAGAAGTTTGAAGATATTTGAAACTCATCCTGAACAGCTTAAAAAATCCAAAGTGACAAAAACGTCCCCAAAATGCCTCAAAATCCGTCCAGAACCATTCAGAACTTGCTGATAAACACTTTAAACTCGTCCTGAACAATTTAAAACGTCCATAATGTTCCGACTGAGTCACTTCCCCAGAATCTTTTGACTTTTTCTGGACTTTCTAGGTGCTGAAATAGTTTTTGTGTTTTGCAGGTTTGTGATGTTTGTTCTGGTCTCTTATCTTCCTCTGCTCGTCCTGACCCGACCTCCTCCGTCCTCCTCTCACAGGATGTTTGCTCTGAGCAGCCGTCCGACGCCTCAGTGTTCACAGAACAAGGCTCAGATAAGGAAAAAAGAAACCGTCTTCTGTCTCAGAACCGAGCCAGTCGTGGCCTCTGAACCGCCGATGATCAGCGTCTCCACCGTCTCCACCGTCTCCACCGTCTCCACCGTCTCCACCGTCCTCTCTGTCTGTTGCTACAGATCATTCAGCTGTTTCTGGTTTAAAGCAGCAGAACTCGTTCAGGATTCTGCTGATGACTCGTTAAACCTCCACACGCCGGTCGCTCTGACACTTTGTTCTGCTCGTCTGAGAATCAGATAAAGGACCGAACGCCGAGGATCGGAGCGAGGAGGAACCGAGGAGGAACCGAGGAGGAACCGAGGAGGAACCGTGGAGGAACCGAGTTTCCTGTTTGAGCTGCAACGTTGTGAAGAAGCTTTAAATGAGAAACCTGACAGACGTCAGCAGGAGGTCTGATGGTTCAGGCGTCTGCTGCTGTTTACTGGCTTCTCATGTTTTACTGTCTTTTTAAAATGTTTTGTTGTAGTTTTTCTTTTTTAATAATTATGTCTTTGTTTATATTTTTACTGTCTTTTTTATTGCTTATTGTCCTTTTGTAATGTTTTACTGTCTTTTTAAAACATTAAAGTCTTTTTTTATTATTTACTGTCCTTTTAAATGTTTTCGTGTCTGTTTTCAATCATTTTATTGTCTTTTCAATATTTTAGTGTCTTTTTTAGAATGTTTTATTGTGATTTTTTAATAATTAATTGTCTTT